CAGAAGGAACCAGAAGTTTCCAGAAAGACTTCCAGAGGCTACAGGAGGAACCAGAGGTTTCCAGAAAGCTTCCAGAAGCTACACACGTTCTACATAGATAGGTGTCCCGGTCAACCTTGACCTAGCATGCTTCCGGAATATTTCTAGAACAAGAGAATACATGCCAAGGAGAGATGGATACTTTTCTACTGCTACGCAGACTAGTTGCTGCAATCGTATTCAAAGGTCAAACCGTGTCCGACTACTGGTGGTCTCGACGCACGATTTTCCTGGCACGACCCCTCGATCAAGCAACTAATTCACCATGGTCGACGGCATCACCATATCCTTGTCTACCTCGACCCCTCCGTTGGCACCGTATCGAAAATAAATTCCTTCTGNCCTGTCTCATCCTGGTGGTGTACACCCTCCAAATACCGTACTACCGCTGTAAACGAAACACACAGCGCACCTCTCGACCGCATCTATATCGCTTCTCTCTCTCGCTTTCGTTCGAGGCTCGCGTGGCAGCAGGTGGTAGCGGTACCAGGCTCTGCAAGCGCCTCCTCTTGTAGAAAGCGTACGTAATCCTTCGCTGATGTCGGTGTCTCTCACGTCACAACGCATGCGTGATCGTGCCCTTGACCAATCAAGGGTAGCCACGAGTCGCAGAATAAAAGGTGTACCTGGTTATAGGAGTGGCATACATCGTCATTTGGGAGGCGGTCTCTTCCGCATTTCGGCTGCCTACTATGCATACAATAAATGTAAAAGAAGTCGTGGTCCCTTTTAAAAAACCAGCGAGACTGCAGGTTCTTTCAGCATTCGACTCCTTCGCGAGAAGGGAGACCAAGGCACACAAGCCGCTGCGCGCCGTGATTCGCGCCCTTGACGCAGTACAGCAGTACACAACAAAAAAGTCAGTAACGGTTTCGTATCGGTTTTTTCTGGGAGTGCTGCTGCTGTGTGGTTTGTGCTAGAACAACCTCACGGCTACGATTCCTGTGCTTTCCTTTCCCGTAGAGGGAGACCGAGGCACAAAAGGTGCTGCGCGCCGTGTCTCGCACCCAGAGTGGCCGTGTTTGTGGCGCATAGTCAGTTGTGGCCAAAAATTGGACGTTGGGGGGCGCACCATGCCGCCGGTAGACTATCGAAAAACTACCCTCCGCGAATGCGTACGGTCGCACACGACATAGCAACGAGGTCAACAGAGGGAGGCGACTCGACACACCATGGACGTCCACGATGCTCCATGAGCATTGTTTCATAGAGGTCCATGGGTGTCAATGCCACATTTATTGCCAGCATGTGGCCGTTCATGGGCATTCATTCATGAAAGTTCATTCCATGATATTCAAAATTCAACAATATCGCTTGATTGAGTGTGTATAGGTGACCCTGCTGCGACTCGTCTCTCCAGCCTTGGGCTCAGTACACAAACAATAGGAACGTGCTGAGGATGCGCGAGCTAGCATGTGCCTTCAGGTTTCGACTTGGGCAAGAAAAAGAGGTGGTGTGGTGGGTATGGGGCTCGATAAATATATGTGCTACTGTGTACCAATAAAAAACATGTACGTACTCCGAATATCGGCGCTGACTCTATTCGCCCTTTCCGTGCCGTCTCGCGCTCCTCGTTCTCAGGATCAAATTCTTCTCGGCGGGTGTTCTGCGTGTACATATGGAGCGGGTTGTAAAATGTATATTTGTGGTACTTTGGATATGTGTCCGATCTACATGCGCTGTGTGCGCCTGATGGGGGGTACGTGGATGGGTATGAAGTGTATGGGGCTATCTAACCTATCTTAGTATCTATCTATATAGACTCTATACATCTACCTATATCTATTTTTGTCTTGCCTTCCGACAATCAACTGCAGATGTACGTCAGAAAACTTTCACTTAATGTCTCATACTCTACATGAATATTAAACCAATACGAAGTACAACAACATATGTAGGACTTATTTCTACTGTCACTTACATCGTAAAAATATATCCTCTTCAATTTGAAACAAAACCAATGAAAAACCTCATGGTATCCTACATGCGTTCGTAAGCTTGCTAAAATACTACTGAGTTGATGTCCTCTTGTAAAAGCTGAAATCCAACAAATAAATGCTCTCCATATCCCCATATCATTGGCTATCTCTATTTTTTTTTTTTTGCCTTCCGACAATTGCAGATGTACCTCAGAAAACTTTCACTTAATGTCTCTTACTCTACATGAATATTAAACCAAAACGAAGTACAACAACATATGTAGGACTTATTTCTACTGTCATTTACATCGTAAAAATATATCCTCTTCAACTTGAAATCAAACCAATGACAATCCTGATGGTATCCTATATGCGTTCGTAACCTTGCTAAAATACTACTGCGTTGATGTCCTCTTGTAAAAGCTGAAATCCAACAAATGCTTTGATCCATGCTACATCTCCGTGTTGGAAAAGCCCTTTCATCTCCGTTCATGATAACATCTTACCCTATTCTACGCAAATCTGTCACATCTACTCTCAAACAAGACGCCAACTTCAAACGAAAACGCGTTCTACGATGCGTCTACACTCCATCCCCATATCATTGGCGTTGACTGGTNTCCTCTCCAAGGCGGCCAAAGCTATCTCTATCCTTTGATGACCTGAGAATTCCTCGGAGAGTAAGAGTCGTACTGCCTCACTTAACGAAGTACAGCAGACAGCCATTGCAGCATCCGATCACCTTAGATTACTACTACCATAGTCAAGACATCTGCCTTCACACTTCCCAACTTCCCGCACCAACAATTAGGTAGTGTGCTGCTGTCCTCTGACGACGTGGCTTTTTTCCAAGTCCACCCAGGTTCTTCATTGACAATCCAAATAAAGCTGGAAAAGGCTTGAGCGCTCCATGTTCTGTGGATAGACTTACTCTACATGTCGCACTCGTATGTTTCCTTTCTGGCAAGCTCTCTGCGACCACGCTTGCGTCTTGAAGTCTTCGAAGATATCAACCACCCGCACACATCGATCTGTACCCAGACCGCCGTTTGCCAAAATCTGCAAGGAAGGGGGTGTTCGAAAGATATCAACCACACTGGTTTTAGCACGTGCAACCATATGATAGCCACGGCGTGCCGACGTTATCTTGATGACTCCTGTTCTGTAGGTCCTGTACAGTAATGAAAGGACATAGATAGCTTCATGTGACACGATCAAATTGGATCTAAATGTAATACATTTGTGCGTGATACGCACGTGCTGTGTCATGGGTCGATTCTGGTGAAGGACAATCGACGGATAGACTACCCTGCGAATCGGGCCCTCCTGAACATTTTCATGGCTAGACTATCGGCGAAGAGTACTGACGTTACGCCGTCACGGACGCCAAAAGAGGTACCCATTCATTTACATGCACCGCGATCACTTTTGGATTTTTCGATGTTTCGCCAACAAGCTGTTTGTAGGGGCCTCAGAATACCGGAACATCATACATGTAGTGTACATACATGGATAGATAAATCAGAACGAACTGTACATATAAACAAGAACGATTTCTTGCGATTGTACAACTTGGCGCCCGCCCCACTTTGCTATTCGCCCTCTGGAAAATCTCCCGTCCTTGAAAACACGACTTGATTGATCATGTATCATCGCCGTTCGACAAACCGGTCGCGCTCTTCATTCTCAGCTTCGCGGACGGCAGCTCGCACTGCGTATCACCGTGGTGACGATGATCTCACGCGCGCTATGGGACGAATGTCTGTCAGGGCGACATCCAACATCAGGATCCCCCCTCTTTCTGCCTTTTCGTCTGGGGCCGTAGCTGTGGCTGGCAGCGCGGTCCGGGTTGGCGAATGCATTCCTCGAGCGGAAAGCATCCCGACCAACTTCCGGACTCCCACGGCTTACCTCAAGGTACTTGATGAAACGCCCTTCCTGACGTTCGCTTATCGATGGTGGGTGACAGCAGAATATATCATGAACAAAACTTACGTCATGTTGTCACGTTGCCTCTTTCTCTTGGCTAGCACCGGGTGTCACCGTTGGTAACCACGTTGCGCCTGAGCTTGTGGTTCTCCCATAGTTGTTGTGATTTTTTCAATTCTGTCAATTCAGTCTCGCTTGCCCGAGGTTGATCAAGGAATGGATTTCTTGGCCAATGTTCGTGTAGACACGCAAAAAAACAAACACGGGTGCGTGCCAATGCCCAAATTTCGAGCAAAACACGGCTTCATCTGAGTCTGGCACAGGGCCTCCGAGTGCCTTGCGCGGTCGCCGGGCTACAGTACGCCTGGATGTCGAAGGAGTTAGCCATTAGCCTGCTGAAGAGAGTTCTTGTAGTCATGAATCAATGTCTGCTGCTGCCACGGCGAATTTCAATATTTTCATGAAAACATGATTTAAATAGAGCCGTTCCGATTCGACCTACTGACACGGAATGGGCGTTCCCTGACCATTCAACTTGTTTTTCACAAGATAGGCGTTCTATGAGAAACAAATGTTTGCAGCGTGCTAGAGCACCGGCGGAGATGAATGGGCACTGTTATCGATCTTTCCACATGGGTACCTATCCGTGGTACACATTATTAATATTATTATTATTGCCCTCCGACAATTGAAGATGTTAGCACTAAAGTCCTAAAACGTTTCACTCAATGTATACCCCTTCTATTTCTATCTTCATGCTCATACTTGTAAGAATACGATATTGTACATGCACGTCACGTCAGTACGTACCTACCAATGCCGAACGTAAAACTGAAGGAAATCATAACATTGTTGATTGAATTCAACATTTCCTCCGTTCTCCTGTTACTTCCTTTGTGAAAATGCCAAAACCTTGTCCCTCCAAAACTCTGACAAGACGTTCCTGTCGTTGAACCGAAATCTTGTGAACATAATCTACTACTAAAACGACATTTCTTTTAGTGTATGTGATGTACCTACCAATTGCTTTGTAACAACAAGACCTAAGCTCATTAGATAATCCATTACATTCCTACTATTTCAGTGCATCGACACTACATCCCCAAATCATTGGTGTCGATGTGTTCGGTGTTGAACTTGTTCGTCGGCAACAGCAAGGAAAAGAGTTCGGCTACATATTATTGTGTAGACTATCTTGGATCTATCATCTGTCTACGTTCGTCCCTCGATCATGCCGGGGAATCTTTTCGTGGGANTGAACTTGTTCGTCGGCAACAGCAAGGAAAAGAGTTCGGCTACATATTATTGTGTAGACTATCCTGGATCCAACATCTGTCTACGTTCGTTCGTCCCTGAATCATGCCGGGGAATCTTTTCGTGGGATATTTTTTCCACAACCAAGTCAACAAACCCAAACATCCACGATGAAGGTGAGTGGGCTGTCAAGGAACACGAAAGTTCTGCCAGAATGCAATTCGGGGTGTTTCTAGACCATGCAGAAAACCTTGCAAANATTGCAAAACGTTTTCACTCTTACAGCAGAGGTACAGCTTCTATTTGTTAACCTTGCGAAAAAATGCACATCTTCCGGCGGAGTGGGTATTCATTGTCACGCAATGCAAGCTCTCGCCAAAATATGACAACATGCTCTCCTTCCCGCCCACTGAACATTTTATCCATGTTCAGGCGATGCAAGCCCACACTCAGAAAGAGTTCGAAGCTTCGGCTCGCCAAGGCGTCAGCAACGCGGATCGGCAGGGGGGTGGGTGGCTATTGCTGACCTGTAGGCCAAACCCCCGTTGGCAAGACAGCTGTCTAAGCTACTACGTGCACGGCAAGTCCGAAAACGGAGGACTCGACACGCAAGACACCGAGGAGGACGGCCACAACTTCAAGCAAGATCCCTGGTCTCGGCACCTGGTGGAGTTCGAAGACTCAAGCATAGCCTTGGTTGTCGCCTGCGTAGAAGGTGTAACTGACAACCAGGCGTTTCTGGCGATTGTACCCGGAGCTGACGGTATTCCGGTCCTATCGGAGCACTTGCAGACGCGCGTCCGTTCTCTCGGATACGTCGGTTCATTTCTCCGTGAATATGGAAGCGCGGCAGAGCTTTTGCGCCGTGATGAGAGCGACAGCTTGCTCAACGCCGTGGCCGCACCCGGTCAGTGCACGTTGCCTTCATCCTCGGGAGCGGGAACGTTTCTGCCGCGAGGCCAAGTGCGTACTCTCGATACCTCCTCTGTCCCCCTGAACGCT